AATTAGCACTGGCTTTTCATAGCTTTGGCGTCTCTGAAGTTGCAGCAAAGCTCTTTGAACGCAGAAAATTCTGTGATGTGTGCTGTGCCAAATGCTCCTGTCACTAAAACCAGCTTCAGTTGGCAGGCGTTGTGCAAAGTGCCCGAAGCTGGCTGCAGAACAATGGTGGAAAATTCTGTCTTTAAATGGCCATTTTCTGCCTGTGAAACGATAACAAAACAGTTCCTATGCCTTCAGTAACAACTTCCATGCCCCTTCTTCCTCTCCAAACACCACCCAATACCAAAAGTGCAAGGAGGCTGACAAACACCCTTGGGAGAGAGTAACTTCTGGTGCGTCACTGAAGGTGCACTTTTTAATTCACAGGATATTCTTGCTGTGGCTTAAAACTTAACAGGAGTGGAAAGACAAATATGAAGCAACCACAGCAGACTTTCTGAAATTTCTGCCCAGGCAAATTAGAGAGTGTATTCTATTTTGTATCTTAAACTTTTATTTTTTTTCAGTGTATGCAGCAAGAAAGAACAAACTACTTGTGTGAAAGTCTTCAATTCCCCATTCTGATTCTCTGTTCACTTGATGCAGTGTGATCAGCAATGCCGTTTCTTGCAAATAAGAGTTGTGATTCAGCCAAAGAAACAATTTATTTCGTTTTCAGTGTAATAACACATTTTTTCATTTAGATTTCTAGAAGCTTTTTTATCTGAAAGTGTTAGCAAATGTCTCAGTAAGAGCAAAACAAGGCACTTAGCTGCTGCAGCATTTTAAAAACTTCTTTATGTAAACATATGTTTCTGGCAAACCAGTGCTGTATTCACATTCCCCTTTGACTGTAGAACTGAACTTTCTTTTTTCTTGATGTTTATTTACATAAAAGACATTTTCATTGAGCAGCGTGAGCCAAATCCTAGCTGTGATATTTTGATCCCGTTCATAACTTTTGACACCCATCTAGTGGACGCAACACAGTATGACAGGATAAAATTCCTGTCACAACAGCTATGTGGAACTCTTGCACGTACTTGAAGTTATCTAATGGTGCAAACCACAGGGCCTCTCCCAGCTGGTGAAACTGCAATCTTATCTAATAGACTCTTAAATTTTAAAAATCACTTTTTGTTTTTTTTTTTTTAAATCTGACAGTGAAATCATCCATAGAAGCCTGCCTTAATTGCTGACTGGGAGAAATAAGACTGGTAATAAAATACTTACATCATGTCCACAAAAGATGGGTGAAGAAAATAAAACAAATCTGCAAACAAAACCATATGTTCCTTTAATCCAATAAAATGCTTTCTAATCAATTGAATAATTAAGTCCATGGTTAAAGAAATCAGTGTAATAGTCACCCCTTATTCAACATTTTACTGCTGTGAGAAGACTTACATTTACCTTAATTTATTTCTATCCCACTTTTAACTTATGCTTTAGAGCTTTCAGACAAATTTTTATATATTTGAAATTGTATTGCCATTGCAGAAGTTAGTCTTATTGAGCACAGGAGTAAACAATCCTCTTCAATTTTACCTAAAACTGCACGAAAGATCTGCCCTCCTGCCCTGAATAGAAAAACAAAATGTACAGACTGTGTATTCTTTAGGAATCTGTGTGTTCTTGCAGCGGTTTAAAGACAAGAAAATATTTTATTTAGGCAATGAGATAAAAGTGTTAGGAAATTTGGATATGATGAGCTCACCCTTAATTGGCATTGTGAGTATTTTGTGCTCCTGGAATACTCAGGAATTCAAACTCAAAAGATATTGATTCTTAGTGAATAATAGTAGTCATGCTAGTAGTATTTATAGAATCATAGAACGGTTTGGGCTGGAAGGGACCTTAAAGAACATACAGTTCCAAAGTCCCTGCCATAGACAGGGACACCTCCCACTTAGACCAGGTTGCTCAAAGCCCCATCCAACCTGGCCTTGAACGCTTCCAGGGTTGGGGCATCCACAGCTTCCCTCGGCAACCTGTGCCAGTGCCTCACCACTCTCAGAGTGAAAAATTTCTTCCTAATGCCTATTGTAAATCTACCCTCTGCCAGTCTGAAGCCATTAGCCCTCATCCTATCGTTACACGCCCTTGTAAAAAGTCCCTCTCCAGATTTCTTGTAGGTCCCCTTGAGATACTGGAAAGCTGCTCTAAGTTCTCCCTGGAGTCTTCTCTTCTCCAGGCTGAACAACGCCAACTCTCTTGGCCTGTCTTCATAGGAGAGGTGCTCCAGCCCTCTGATCATCTTTGTGATCCTCCTCTGGACTTGCTTCAGCAGGTCCATGTCCTTCATATATTGGGGGCTCCAGAGCTGGACGCAGCCCTGCAGGTGGGGTCTCATGAGAGTGGAGTAGAGGGTCAGAATCACCTCCCTTGACCTGCTGGCCATGCTTCTTTTGACGCAGCCCAGAATACAGTTCTGCAAGTGTTCATTGCCGGCTCCTGTTGAGCTCCTCATCAACCAACACCTCCAAGATCTTCTCCTCAGGGCTGCTCTCAATCCATTCTCTACCCAGCCTGCATTTGTGCTTGGGATTGCCCTGATCCACATGCAGGACCTTGTATTTGGCCTTGTTGAACTTCATGGAGTTCACACAGGCCCACCTCTCAAGCCTGTCAGTGTCCCTCTGGGTGGTATCCCTTCCCTCCAGCATGTCTACCACTCCACACAGCTTGGTGGTGTTGGCAAACTTGCTGAAGGTGCACTCAATCCCACTGTCCATGTCATCATGGCGTGGCAATATGATTATTAACTTATAGCACTGGAAGCTGCAAAGGATCTTTGACTGTAGTATTCATGCTATCCTGCCCTTGCCAATATGTTTTTCAATATATTTTTGTGAGCAGATCTCACAATGATCACAAAGGTGCAATAAATAGGGAAAATGAAATGCAAAGAGGAGCTTTGCATTGTCCAAGATCACCCAGCAGGCTGGTAGCAGAACTGTCATTTGATGTCTTCTGGATTAAGCTTTGTTAGCTTGAGATTGATAATGTCATGTAGTAGTAGCATATTGGAGGACACAGAAAAAGTACTCAGGCATAATCAAAAGAAATCAAATTTGGGAAGTGTATGTGTTAGGATTTACTAACAGTGAATTGTTCTGAAAACTACAGTGAAAGGAGGATTAAATTGCTAAGCTTTCTTGAAGTTCATTTAATACCATTTTTGGAATAGTTTTTGTTTCAAAAAACCACACATTTTGTTTTTCTACATTCAAACTGTAAAAGGTGAATACAAAATAAATAATATACTATGAGGGCAGCAGAAAACTTGCAGTTCCAGGAATATGTGCAAAGTAAGAATGAAACAAAACATGAAACCAGGGTCCATTCTGTGCCGGGCAATGTGCATCTCTGTCAAAATAGGCAATATATGTTTCTTTGATTAGTTCATTTAACAAAGAACCAGAGGCCATGAGAATGCTGTAATTTCAGTAAAACATTAAAGCGGCAGCCTCACTGCAACCTCAGGTCAATGGTGGATAACAGCAAGAAACAAGCTAGCAGAGAGTAGCATGTACCTGCTGTGTCATCTGCGTCAGGCTGAAGTCTAATCAGCAGCTGACATGTACTGAATATTTTCTCTTCTGCTGTCATTAGGTATAATTGAAAACCAGTGGGTTTCCTTTACATAAATGCTTTTTTTTTTTCAAAATGAGTACTTTAAATTCATTACAAATACATAATATGATGCTAACGCTTATCCATGTTTAAAAAGTCATGTGAAAGATCCTCTGAGCACCCCTCATTCCTAAATTCTTTAGCAGTGTTATTTAAGTTCCCGTTAGTGTGGCAAATGAGCCCAAGTAGTTACAAGCCAAGGTCTCATATGTACCTTTCCTACTATGGTGTAAAACTAAAACTGGTTGTTGGTTTTAGAGAGACACATCCAACTAGGGAAACAAAAGTCATCTTCCACTTCTAGATGCATAAAATGTGTTCCATCCCATCAGATGGAGACATACTCTTGCTAATCCACACATTTGTAACCTCTGAGATTGCACATCACAACACGTTAAGTCTAAAAATGGAGCCACATGCTCCAAAAAGACTCCATACGGTACCAAACGCAGCTGTCGGGCTGCTAAGCAACATGGGTTGCCATGAGCACATCCTCCCAGCACTGCCCACCCTGTCCTAGTTTCTAATTGATTGCAGACTGCCATTCAAGGTCTTTGCGCTGATTTTCAAAGCCCTTTGTGGAAACGTCACAGACAATGTGAAAGAGCACCTTCTCTCTCCTTCTCTTTCTTTCTTGCCGCTCACCTTTCAGCCTCTCATGACGGCAGTGTTCCCTAGGAATGATAAGCCTGTTCACCACTCGTAACACCAAATGCAATAACTAGCAGTGCTGGGACTAAACTGTGTAGTTCAAAGGCACAAATCGCCACAGAAATCGTGCTGCTTGGCAGTAAGCAAAGAACTCGGTCTGTTTCTTGGGTCTGTTGTAAAATAGCAACTCTAATGCAAGCAAACTGGCCCAAGCACACACATATGCCTTAATCCTTGCCCAGCACTTTGTTTACTGGGATAAGACAAAATAAGTCCTTGAAATTTTTGGGTAGTAATGAAATATTAGGGTTGGGTACGTGTTAACAAAAGAGCTCTCAACTGCCTCAACAGTGGGAGACAGAATAATGAGGGTCCAGCTCAGGAGAGATGGGGCCTGAGGAAGAAAAAAATGAAACATATGTTTCCTCAGGTATAGAGCTCATGGATACCCTACATGTAGAGAAGCATAAGGCTTCCTGTATTCCTAATAGTGTGGGTTTTTTTCTTTACCAAATTTATTTTCCTTCAGAGTTGTTCTTTTTGGTTGTCAGCAATTTTAAACTGTATTTTTTGTGTGCCTTGGTTTTTGGCTTAGCGGTGGACTCAACCTGGTCTTTATTTCCCCATTATTATCAAGAAGCAATTACGTAGTGAGAAATTTGTCAGAAGAGTGTTTATTACTTTCAAAATCCTTATGTCAATGGCATAAATCTTTTTCTCCTTTCTTTTTGCAGTTTCGATGTAGACAATGGTACCTCATCGGGACGAAGTCCCTTGGATCCCATGACGAGCCCTGGATCAGGGCTAATTCTTCAGGCAAATTTTGTCCACAGTCAACGTAGGGAGTCTTTCCTTTACCGGTCAGACAGTGACTATGACCTTTCTCCAAAGTCTATGTCCAGGAACTCCTCCATTGCCAGTGATATGTAAGTACATTATAAAATAGTTTTAGCCTATGTTTTGTCCTCTGTCTCAAGATTTTTCCAGCCACAAGAAATTTGTTTTAAAAATCAACGATGGTAATCACTTGCACTACTGAAGTCATGGATAATTGTTTGTTTATTTTTTTAAAAGAAGCTTGTACTTGTTTCTGCAGTTTTCTGAAAGTAGGAATATCATGAGGGTGTACTTGATGTGTTTATGCACTTTATTAGCTTTGACAGAATAATGGAGACAGTTCAATACTGGTGTATCACAACACTAAGGAGAACTCTGATTTCCTGGCTATTAAGTTATTTTCCAGAGAAGCGATACAACCTCTATTTCTGCTTCTTAATATTCTTAAGAAAAAGGTTACATTTGTTTGCACCAGGTATTTTTAGGTTTTTAGAGAAAAGATTTACTGGTTGGAAGAAATTAATAAAATCAGGAGAGGCAAAAATTATTTCAAATACCCTTTTAACTAAATGGCAAAATTTTAACAAAAGACCTTTGTAAAGTTATTCTGTCCTCTCTCACTGTTTTTCTGTGATGTGTGTATTTTCTGCTAGTGGATCATACTTTCAAAGTATGTGTAGACGCCAGGTTGCATGGGTAGTGGAAGTCAGATGCAAATCTCTGTTTATTTGTAAAACACTGAAATCATGTTAAATGTCCCAGCTTCTAGTCACTTGTAGAAATTAAGAATAACTAATGTTTTTTATTTGTTTGCCTTATGTGCTCCAAATTTCACTGCCAGGTACCTGTTTATGGATCAATTATAAATCACTAAAATAAAGGACCAGGCTTATAAGAGCCCCCTAGTGAATGAGGAAGTCTAAAGCATTAAAAATCCAGCATTAATATAAATGCTGTTTTTTAATGAGGCAAAACCCAATCAAGGTCCTCTCTGAAAAATAACAGTCAGTACGCACAACAGAGGAAAAAGGCTTTCATAATAATGACTGAAATTTCACCTGATATTTAACTTGCAGTCATTATAATCGAACACTCCTATTTTCAGCTTACTTATCATTTTAGAAATGTTGTTTAGTCCATCTAATTATAGCTCTCTTCATGTGTAAGTGTCAAGATGAGAAAAATTTCATGCTTTGACAGAGGTTTTGTGTAAGGTCCTTACCTCGGTTAAGCCCTGTAGATTGAAGTACTTAGCAAACTTTGTGCCCAGTGTGACTAGCTTTGGTTGAGACAAAATGAGAAAAAGACCAATCCATCTTGCCTTGTCCTAAGGAAAAACACATTTCACTTGCAAATAGTGACCCCCTTCCAGCAAATGTTCCTCTGACAGATAACCTTTCTTTTAGATGGACAAGAGTCAAGCTTTTAGTGTGGCACCTGGGCCAGAATGCTGTTTGGAAAGACTTTTACAATCAGGAGGGCAACCCAGGTCACTGTGTTGCTTGGATGAGTCATTTCAATTAAGAATTCAATTAGTGCTTCATGTTTGAACTCATAATCCATTTCTGCATTTCCTAGAATTCTGGGTAATATTTCAGCACATGGCAGCAAATTGGATAAACAATTTAATTACTGAAACACTGAGCACGCTTTCTTCTTTGGATATTTGTATCTATTCTTCCTTTCAAAATTTTCTTAAAACACATCTGTGTATAAAATTTATCGGACCTCACATCTGGATAGATTTTCACAGTCTCCTGTAACAGAGGAGCTGTTTTACTAAGGTAAATATTCCTGCCACTATTTAGGATGGGAGATCATTAAGAAATGTAAAAGGGAACTTGTTCTAACCATGGAATATTAATCATATATCAGTAAGCCTAATGATAGCAATCTTGATTCTATCACAGAAATGAAGGAAAAGAAAACTAAGGAATTAAAGAGGGGAAAGTTTAAACAGATAACATAGTGAGGAAAAAAAGCAAAGAAAAAATACCACAAAGCTCTTCATATGTGGGTTCAAGGAGAAACTAGATGTGCTGATGGAAAAGCAGTGCTGAATAAGATGGAGGCAGGAAGAGTTGTCAGGGGAAGTATAACACAAGTTTTAGATGACTCCCAAACTATCCTGTTTCCTTTCTACATCTATCTACATGCTTAATTTTAAGTATTGCCTGTTTCCTAAGCATGAACAAAATATATTACAAAACATACACATCATTCAGGTAATGCAGATGAATTAATTGTACATAACAATGTAACCTAGAATCCTCTGATTCTTCAGTACTTGAGTTACCAACCTCAGTATTTCACTTAGAAAAAAAGCAAAATAGAAAGCAAAAGGCATGCATCTTTTATTTGGAAGGAGTATAACCTAAGATTTCTGGCACTTCCATTACTCTCAAATACTGTGCTTATGGTAATACATTCCACTTCAGTAGCAGCCGATGAAACAAAAGCAAAACTTCAAGATTTTTTTAAATATGGAGTGTTGTAATCAAAGACAGCCAGTGGATGGCAGTGCTAAAGTACTGAATTCATCATTCTCTCATCATTTATTATTTGCGCTGCAGCAGCAGCTCTGAGCTCCAGCCGAGAAAGGGAACACCGTCATGCTCAGTTCTTTGCAAACCCAAGATAAAAAGATGGGCTCTGCCACAAGAAACTTAAAGTTGAAGCAGAAGATGATAACCCAGAGACTAGTACAGTCAGATATTATCCCCAGGAGAAGGTACAACACGAATCTCTATGCCCAAAGTAGTAAAACTCGCAGAGCAACCAAAGGGAGTTTCAGTCAGTGATTTCAGTTGGAAAGTAGCAGAAACAAGGGCAGAGAAGGGGGAGGTGGAAAGTTTTTTAAAATCAGCGAGGAGCCAGGTTAGCTAAGGAAAAGAATAAAAGACAGGATGAGTGCAAGACTGCTTAGATGAGAGAAGGTTAGTGGGACAAATGTGGGTGCAGTTAAGGCACTGAAAGAGGCAGAAAAAGCTGTATGGTAAGAAAGGAAAAACAAATAAAAAGGAGTGGGAGTCAGTAACATATTTTCTCTATCTCTTGGAAGAAAAAGCACAGTCTTAGAGAGAAAAAGAGCAGAACATGTAGATGATACGAGGAGATGAGAAAAAGCCATTCAAGGCTGTGAACTGGAGAGGCAGGTGGTTTAGAGAGGAAGATGCAATGTCCAAGGCAGCAGAGCACAGATGTGTTGTGAAGCCTGGCGAAGGGATTTCTAGCAGAGAGGTGAGGATGTGCAAGAGAAGGAGCAATGAATGAGCAAGCCAGTGAGGATCAGTGACCCAATGTAAGGTATTACAGGGCAGGATCTGTGATGACAGAGAGGAAAACAATTTTCAAGAGAAGTAGAATGGAAAATTGAAAATAATAAAATAAATAAATAAATAATAAAAAAGAAGTGCCCAACGGCACAGTTGCAACACTGGGAAAAAAAAGGGAACAGAAGCCAGCCAAAAGATGAGAGTGTCATCAGTATTGTGCTGGAAGAATTGTCGGGTTTACATTTGAAGGCGTCAGTGAAGTAGGGAGCTTTGAATGTGGGTGTCTTGCAGAGGTGGCCTGATTACTTAATACTCACTTGTTTGAACTGCTGCTCTGAGCTAGCAAATGAAGACAGAGGTGGCAGCAGTAACACTTCTTATGTCTTTCTTGCTAAGGGATTACTGCTCTTATTAATGAAGCATGAGACCAAATTTGTGGACAATCTCCATTTTAGCAAAAAATAGTTTTCTAGCTAGGTTAAAAAATGGATTCTGCAGTGAAATCATTAGCACTTTCATGAAGACTAGAAAGAAGCCAATAAGCAGTTCATTATCTGGGGCAGAACCCATGTTTTACCTGCCACTCTAAGGGGAGAAAAGCGTGTGTAGTCCTGTGTGATCCTGAAGAACCGGACCAGTGTAACAGGCCAGACCAGAGGACCAAGACACCCTTGGTCCAGAAGTCTGTCTGAGCTCCACCGTGTCTTCTGAATATATCTAGGGGAAAAGGTACGTGAGAAAAAGCATTCCTTAAGCCTACCCTCTTAGGCAACATCCTGGTCTTTCCAGGACTTGGCCAACTGAATCTCATTCAGTAAAAAAGTAGCTGCTGTGGGCAGCTTCATGGGCTTCTTTAGAGAGGCTCAGCGCTGTTTCCTTGATCAGGTGAAATATCAATATAAGCTCTAATTAGTATAATTACGTAAAATTTGCCAATTTCTAGTAAACTTTGCTTCCGTCTTTTAAGCACTAGAACGCAGGCAGGGAACACTGACCATAGGGAACTAACTGCAGCGTCGTTGGCCTGGTGATCTGCTAAATGGCCATAAAGCCACCAGTACACCTGTTCCTCAAACTGGCAAGCCTACTGCTATTCTGACAACACCTTCTGTAGAAAGTAGCATCCCTCTGCTGCTGTCCCCGGCAACACAAATGCCAAGAAGATGCAATTTACTCCAGGATTTTTTCCCTATAACTACAGCATTATCCTGTCTCCTCCTAGAGGACATGCTGCTTTGTAGACTGTATTTGAATGTATCTGTAAACCTTGGCTCCATGTTTACAAAAAAAGAAAATCCTCTATTTTATTACTCAAACCCAAACGTGGTCTACTTTGGAACAAAACTCTGTAGTCTGATAAACATGGGTACTGGCATAAAGAGATTTGGGTTGTTTTGTCAGGATGAATTATCCCCTTCTTCAATAGGTGGAGAAATAGTTCTGGGATTTTTAATTTGTGAGCATCTTTCTTTCCCAAATAAAGCCAAAATAATCTGTAGTTTTGCAAAGAATAGTGTAACAGAATTATTCTGTCTGCAAAAATTACCTTAAATAAAGGGAAATTCCAAGGTAGGGAATTCCCTTGTCAGTGACTGGCAGGTCTGGTCCTGACCTGAAGCTGTTAACAGGCTGAAATATCCCTTTAACTGGCATGTGAAACAACTGCTAGAGAAGAGAATTTTTGAGTTAAAGTTGCACGTGTTTCCCAGTTCTCAACAGTCTGTTCAGCTTTCAAAAAAAAATGCATTATATTCAATCTGCATCAGATACATAAAGGGAATGCACTTTAAAATAATGGCTGCCAAAGGTGGCAA